GCACGTGAAGTAAAATATGATGATCCTAGATTGTGTTAGCTAATGACTTAAGTCCCACGTGCTCCAGGGATGAGATCTTTCTGGGCTTCTCCTGGCACCCACACCTACTTTCCTGATCCTCATCCTCATCTCTGTCTGGATAACTTGGAAGCTGAAGCATTCAGAGACAGCAAGAATCAGTCAAAGTTGGTCTTGAGAGGGTTACAATTGTAGCATACATTGGGGAACTGGCATGGCAGTGACCTCCAACACAGGTGATGATGAAGCAGAACTAAAAATGAACTCTGGATTTCCTGCATTTAAGATTCCCAGGAATCTTAGAGCAAAAAGAGTAGAGCAAACAGTTAGGTCTAAGAAAAAATAAGAGATTTTCCCAACTAAATTTGGTAAATTGGTCAGCTTTTTAATATTCTTTTAGCTCATAACTGTAGCAAACAAATGAAGGAAGTCAAAATTTCACAAGGACAATGAGAATGTGAGAGGAGACAATAGCTGATATGCAATATCAATAATCTTTGGAGGTTACAAAGCAATTGGAATAATAACAATAGACTTGAGAAAGCTGTCACCTAAACACCTATGGATAGGGATACCAGTAGGAACTAAGCCCTCCCACCCCGCAGAGCCCTAGAAAGGCTCAGAACATGGCACTTCCAGGGGACCCTAAAGGCAGAAAGGAGATGTGTGACTGAAGTCAGGGGGGTTGGTTGATCATATGCACACTGAACTGATGGAACTTCCCCGGGTCCCATCTCCCTTCCAATGAATCCAGACAACGACCCCTCCTCCCCACTACACAGAGACTAAGGTCTCTGGAAAATGGAGAGCAAGTAGTTTCACTCCAGAGAACCCAAATATGGTGCAGAGCAAGGGTGATGGGAAGAGCTGAAAACAGGGAAGCTGGCTGAAGAGTAGGACCAGCCTCTTCCCCCCATTCTGTTTCCAGAATGCCAGCACCAGGAGACACACCCAGGCCGGAAACAGCTGGATTCTTCTCAAGAGAAAATGAATGGCTTCAGAGGAAAAAACAACACAAAACCAAACACAATGTTGATGTTTGGGACTTTCACAGTGAAAAACGTGCTTGCCATCTGATTACCATATAGCAAAGCTCACTAGTTCAAGTTGGCAAATACTGCCCACCAATCCAGAGCCTCCTAGCAGCTTTTTTAGTTACTATGAAACATTCATAGAGAGACAAAGATCTCTAGGACCTACCCTCTGAAATCACTAGCATCACTTCCACTGCATTCCATGGGCTACAGCAGTCACAAGCCTCCCCAGATGGGAGAGGAGGAACTGCAGAACTACCACAGACTCTGAGAAATGAAGTTAGTGAGTGGTAAGCCCTGAGGCTCAAATGCAGGCTTTCCTGATATAGGATCTGTGGTTATTGTACCACAGACCATGCCTAACCTGTGGACCTCGTACCCTGAAGGAGCCACAGAGTTATTTCAAGGAATCCAGGAAACCATATGTGCACCTAGCATTTTCTGTGGATAAATGATGTGCCTTGTATACATAAATAAATGTACTATTATCTTTAAAGTAGACATACTGATCTTATGGTTAATAAAATGCAAATATTTAAAATCTTTGCTGAAGTCATGGTAGCTTTTCATATTTTCTATTTTTTTAGTATGTATTTTGTATTATGTATTCTCTTAATCATGGATACTAAAAGTACACATGTGGAGGGAATATTTGTTATGCTTAAAAGGGGAATTTTTAAATGCACATTCTCCAAACTGGAAGTTGCTGTCTTTATGGTCTACCGTAAATCACAGAGATCTCTCAGGAAAGTCTTGTTAGATTGCAATCATACTGCCTGCCAGGCCCATAGGCACGTCTAAGGCAGCTAGCTCACAGGCCCTGTGCAGTGGCTGTAGGCTGCATGCCTTGCCCTCCCCTGTTTTCAGCCGTAACTGATTGGATGAGGGGACGGCAGCTGACCCAGTCAATCCTTAACCTGGCCAATGACCAATGGAGTGGCCTGGCACAGAAAGTTCTGTCAACTACGCACAAACCGAGCTACTCAGGCTCTTTATGTTAAGCATTTTAATTCAGACATACAGCATATGAGACAGCTAGAAGCAAGGGACACTAATAAAGTAATAAGGGGGCAAACTAAAGCTTAAGTAGAAGCTATGAATTTAAAAGATGAGGAATCTTATCAGAAGCAAAAGGAGAAGCCAGTCAGTAGAATTGGATCCATGAAAATAGTAGAGAGGTGTTATTAACAGGGAAGCTCTATGCCCTGAGGGATGCTTCCTTCCCAGGGCTGTGCATCGTAGTAAAGAGCCTGGGGGAATCCGCCCAGGAGATGCTTTCTCAGGGAAATGCTTGGGCCCCACCAGTTCTACTCCCCAGCACGTAGATGTTGAGAAATTTTTGCATCACCAAAGCTATCCTGACGCTCTCTGGTTAGTTGTCCCACATCTCCTGCAACTCCACCAGGGCACATTTCCCCAACTTGAATTACAGTGAGCTAGTTACCTTACCTTCCTAACTGGCGCATATAGATCTAATTGTTACCTAGCTAAGTGAGTCTCCATTCCTTCCAACCCAAAGTGTCTTCACTAGAAGGAGAACTACAGAAAAAAAATTTTTTTTAATGAGACCTTTTGTTGAGGCAGCTAAAGAAAAACTACAAGATATGGGTCTTCATATAGACTCCTCTTCCAGAAAAATATGATCATTTCTGATTTCTCATCATAAAAAGCTTTTGAGGAGTGAGTTTTCTTTGAAGAGTTATTTATATCTTTTGCTAAGGAAGAGGAAACTACAAGATTATTTGATCGTAAATAACTTAACAGCACATGCCTTTCTCTTGACTTTTCCTAGATATACGAGGCTATAAATGAATGAGGCCAATACCACATGCCACAGAGGAAAGGCTTGTCCCTTGGCCATCACATATGTTTGTATTTTGTCTATCAGTCCATAGGCCTTTTTTTCCTTATTGTCTGGAACCATAGGAAACAGCTTAGACACCAGAAAAATCTGAGATGTTAGTGTTCAGTTAAGACAAATTCCTCAAGTCAACTTTTCCATAACTTATTTTTAAATGTGCCTCCAGGGCACAAAAGGGTGCTTGGATTTTCTGTGATGGGAACTTAAGGAAACTTGAGTGCAAAATTGGTAACTTCAATTTTTCAATTAGCAGTCATTCACTATAAGTTGATGAGCTATACTTATAGATTGTCTTACATAATATCAGTATACAAAATAGCACTGTTGTGGAAACCTACAATTAAAGTTATGTCATAAATAGTGGTACTTATCAAATTATTTCACATTTTTCACAGTTCTTTATAATGCATCATTATTAAGACACTTAAAATTATTTTTTCTATCTCAGGAGTACAATATAATGCCTCAACCAACTTTCCCAACCACAGCTCTCAATACTCCTCTTTCCTCCCTTCCTTATTTGCCTTTCTCTCCCTTTGTAGGCAGTAACGACCATCAGCAGAGTCCTTCCCAATCATTGTGCTGCTTTAAGACAGACTTCACTTCATCTCAGCTCCCCCCTGGAATAATTCATGATTTGTGCATCTGTATCCCTATATCATTTACACAAAGCTTCTATATGTAATACATATTGCGTAAATGGTTTGTTTTTCTTTGAAAATTGGAATCAAATTGTATTCTTATTTTGCTTTGCTTTAATAATCCATATTGCCTAGCACAGTGACTTGCCCGAAGTAGATGCTATAAATTTTCATTTCATGAATGATAATGTTTGTGTACACTATTTACAATTTTAACTCCCACCCACCTATAGCCAATGGCACTCATTACTGAGATGATTAACTGGAATGCAGTTTATGGCCAAAAGGATTAGTTGCACTGTGAATCTGGCTCAAAAAGAAATGAAATTGATGATTCTGAATTTTTAAGGCCAGGATCCAAATAAGAGAAACTACTACCCATATATGAAGCCATTACAAAGAGCTCTCGAATCTAAAGGGAAATATCTGCATTATCACCACCCCCATGATATTCTTGGGCAATGTTTTAGCTGGCTTGTCTGACTGCATCTTTACTCTCTACAATCCACCTTAGTTACCAGTGACAGAGTGACCTTCACTGCACATCACTGTCATTGTGGAACTTCCCTGCTCCAATTTCTGTTCAGACTCTTCTCCCTGATTCCCAGGTTCCACCTCAATTACCCAATCTGAATCACCCCTCTCCCTCATATTCCCCTCAACCTGATGTTCTCTGACCTTCCACAAGATCATGCCTTGCTAATTTGTGTCTCTCTGTCTTACCTTTAGTCATTACCCTCCCACAGTCTCATTTTCCCCCTCTGGATAATCAACTCTGATCATATGAATTCTGCCTCCTCCATGATTCCTTTGCCAACTGTCATGCTTTCTCTGATTTCACCCTCCTTGAGATTCTATATCACTTTCAATCCTGTACTACAGGCTGCAACATGCAATTATGGACAATCCTGTATTGTGTCAGGTGGGTCTAACTAATCCAATTAGAAAGTGAAGTTTTTAGGTTCCATGTTTTGGCGTGTCCCCTAACTCAATGATAAGCATACAACAGGCATCAAAATCAGTATGTTTTTCATAGGGCCCACCATAACATGAACCACCCCTACTTTTTAATTTTTTTTAATATATTTTATTGATTTTTTACAGAGAGGAAGGGAGAGGGATAGAGAGCCAGAAACATCGATGAGAGAGAAACATCAATCAGCTGCCTCCTGCACACCTCCCACTGGGGATGTGCCTGCAATCAAGGTACATGCCCTTGACCGGAATCGAACCTGGGACCTTTCAGTCCGCAGCCAACGCTCTATCCACTGAGCCAAACAGGCTACGGCCTACTTTTTAATTTTTAAACTATTCTGTAGTTTTAAGAGAATTTTTCTTCAAAGTAAGATAACTTTCACTGCAAGAGTAAGTTACCTACTCTTGATACAAAAACTCTATTCTGAGAGGCACATAAATCTTCAATGACAAAATAAAACAATAAGGCGCTTTTAAGATAGTAACATGTTTTTATTACATAAACATTAAAATATTCCTTGTGGGAGCTGGTCTTTAGTTTGCTTCTTGCTTTCACAGAATATCAATTATCTATGGAAATTGTCTAAGAATGATTTATGAAACTCTCACACGCCCACCACAAAAACCTCAATGCCTACATTTTTCAACCAGATTCCTGAGAAAAATAATCAGTTTTGTTTATTTTACAGTGTAATACATAAATTTTCTTTCAAGATATGAAAAGGATGGACTTCTAAAATGAGTCTCCTTTTGTTTACAAAGTTCTATAAAAATACATTAACTATGCTCATGTTTTTCCTCTGACTTGAAAATATTCCAGTTTACCAGAAAATAACAATGATATGCAAACCACATTAATCTTGCAGCAATATAATGTCAACATCATCATGAACACCTTGCAAAAGTAGCTCTCCTGGGTATGTAACAATCTTCCTTCGTTTTGCAGCTTTGAGTGTTCCTACCAATGCTTCAAAGAGGTTGGCACATTTGTCATCTCGGAAGAGGACCCCAAATTTCACACTTAACTTCCCATCAGCATCTAATTTGAAAAAATACAATGTTAGTCGATGCAAAGTCTGTTTCTTGTCCCCATGTATGGAAGAATTATATAATCTTTAATACACATCTAACCATAGGTTAACCAAAATTACAATTTAACACGGAACAGTCATAAATTCAGTGTAATCTCTTGCCAGGTCCAAAAAGTGATGAAATAAATAAAACATGTTGCACACCTCTTAGCCTTAGTATCCTCTGGAAAAAGACTGGGAAGAAAACCAAGCAACATTTGCAAAAGGTGAATGTGTTAGTGCTACTACTATGGACCAATTTCTCTTTCTAAATTTTGATGTTTTTAATTGTATTAGTTGTTGAATCAATAAAAATAACAAAGAGTCAGGAGCAATGCTTCTCTCAATGTGTCATATATGTACTCAGAACCCCCAGGGAGAGAGTGATGACCTTAAAAATGAAAAAAATCTGTATTTACTGAGATCCCTAGATTATCTAGATTGGCGACCAGTTCTTAATACAGATGTTAAAAATTAAGGTATAGCCCTGGCTGGTTTGGCTCAGTGGATGAAGTGTTGGCCTGTGGACTAAAGAGTCGTGGATTTGATTCAGGTCAAGGACACATGCCTGGGTTGCCGGCTCAATCCCCCCTAGGGGGCATGCAGGAGGCAGCCAATCAATGAGTCTCTCTCATCATTGATGTTTCTATCTCTCTCTCCCTCTCCCTTCCTCTCTGAAATCAATATATATATTTTTTAATTAAGGTATATACTAAAAGAAAATATGAGTTACTAAGCCATAAAAAGACATGGAGGAACCTTAAATCATATTACAAAGTGAAAGAAGGTAATGTGAAAAGGCTACATGCTGAATGATTCCAACTACAGAACATTCTGGAAAAGGAAAAACTATGAAAAAAAAACAAAACTAAGTAAAATGATCAGTGGTTTTCATGAGTTGGGGTGGGGAGAGATGAACAGGCTAGGCTTCCCAATACATGCTTTCAGTTTGCCTGTCTTTCTTCCTGCTGCCTAAGAGACCCACAAGGGCTGAGATGGAATTTTGTTTATTTTCACATCTCCAGCACTTAAGCACAAAAGCAGCACTCAAGAAATATTTGTTGAATGAAAGAATTTAAATCTCCAGATAATCTTTATCCACTTAATTTTTTTCTACTGGATGGAAAATGAGAGCAGAATTTTATTTTTAAAGAAACAGATAAAACTAAATCAATTTCCAGCTTCAGCTAATATATCATATTGAGATTAGTCTAAATATGATCAATCTATATCATAATTTAGATCCATCAAATTATTCCACAACTTAAATAATTTACCATAGCATGTCAGTAGATAACACATCTCCATAGATACTTTCCAATTCATAAGTCATCCATTACCAGAAACAGGTAAGTAAAGAAGGCCTAGTGAAACTGCAATCTTCAAAATATTTTCATCCTTATAGAAGTTATGACAATTACTTCGTTGTCTTCTAGTTTGTAAAGCTGCTAATTTTGAAGTGTGGGCTCAGTTTACCCTTGCAGAACAGTAACACTGTGCTAGGGATATAGAGGCTAGACTTTTACACTCCATCTTACCCAAAAGGCTGAGAAGCGATAGAGGTTAGACTTTTAAACTATTTTTTTATTATATTTTTTTGGTTAATCCTCACCTGAGGATGTTTTTCTATTGATTTTTAGAGAGAGTGGAAGGGAGGAGGAGAGACAGACAGAGAGAGAAACATTGATATGAGAGAGACACATCAATTGTTTGCCTCCCATACAAACTCTGACCAGGACCGGGGATCGAGCCTGCAACCAAGGTTAACCAGAATTGAACCCAAGACCCTGTGAGCCAAACTGGCTAGGGCTAGACTTTTAAATGCAATGAATCTGACCAATTAACACTCAGCTGACACGCAGAAAGATCTAAGAGAAAAAAGAATGCTATGAATCTTTGGAAATACATCTTTAATACCTTTAACCAACCAAACAATAGTACTACTCTATTTCCTAGACTCTAAGACCTAGAGTAACATGACCTCACAGAGCTCCAGAGAAATTGGGAATGTAGAAAGGAGGACCAGCCCAGCTGGCATGGCTCAGTGGTTGAGTGTCGACCTATGAACCAAGAGGTCACAGATCGATTCCTGGTCAGGGCACATGCCCGGGTTGTAGGCTCGATCCCCAGTGTGGGGCATCCAGGAGGCAGCCGATCCATGATTCTCTCTCATCATTGATGTTTTCATCTCTCTCTCCCTCCCCTTTCTTCTCTGAAATCAATAAAAATAAATTAAAAAAAAAAGGAGGCCCTAACCGGTTTGGCTCAGTGGATAGAGAGTCAGCCTGCGAACTCAAGGGTCCCAGGTTCGATTCCGGTCAAGGGCACGTACCTTGGTTGCGGGCACATCCCCAGTAGGGAGTGTGCAGGAGGCAGCTGATCGATGTTTCTAACTCTCTATCACTCTCCCTTCCTCTCTGTAAAAAATCAATAAAATATGTTAAAAATAAAAATAAAATTTAAAAAAAGGAGGACCCACGTAGATGGATCATTGTTGAAAAGAAGACTCACCAAACTTCCACCAAGTGGGTATGATGAAGTGGGTGGGAGAAAAATGGGGTTAGGAAAGATTATTCATTGGTTTGATTGAGGAACTAAATAAATGACAACCTCCGCTGTCTCCTCCTGTTCTCCACAAACATTCCAAATGCAGCTCATGCATTTCCTCCGGAACTGACCTGTCCTACACTCCAGAGTCTTACCTAATAGCCAAGGATTCATTGAGTGCCCCCAACTACTACAGTTTTCAAGAATCTTTTTCTCTGAGACCATACTAAATTGGATGACGGCACTTCACAGCTTAGCATACCATTTTTCCTGATAATTAGCTCATGTGTTTTTAATCTATTTTTCTCACCTTAGTAGTAAGATCTTTGAGGGACAGGAACACACTTTATGTCACTTGTACCTAACACAGTGCTTGCATACACAGATTTCCAACAAATAGTAACTGACCATATGATTAAACTCGGTTGTTGAGCCCACACTAACTTTTATATGCCTAGTTTATTTTTTTCTTGGTATATTTCAGTGATGATGACCTAGGTTTAATGAAGAAATAAAATGACTAGAGAAGACCAGAAAGAACAATGGCCCCCAAACACTTCCATGTCCTAATCCCCAGAACCCATGAATGTATTACCTTACATGGTAAAGAAAATTTTGTAGATGTGATTAAGGACCCTGAAGTGGGGAGATTATCTGGGACTATCTGGGTGAGCCCAATGTAATCAATCACAAGTATCCTTTAAAAGTGGAAGAGGGAGCCCTGGATGGTGTGGCTCAGTTGGTTGGAGCATCATCCCGTACACCAAAAGGTTGCTGGTTTGATTCTCAGTCAGGGCACATGCCCAGGTTTTCGGTTCGGTTCATTCAGGGCACACACGGGAGGTAACCTATCAATGTTTCTCTCTCACAGGGATGATTTTCCTCTCTCTCTCTTTCTCCCCCTTCTTCTCTCTAAAATCAATAAAAAATACATATCTTTGGGTGAGGATTTTTTTTAATTGAAGAGAAAGGCAGAAGATGAAATCAGAATGCCAGCTTTGAAGATGGAGAAACAGGGCCATGAGCCAAGAATGCAGGTTGCTTCTAGAAGCTAGAAAAAGACTAGGAAACAGATTCAGATTCTCTAGGACCTTCAGAAAGGAATGCACCCTGCCAACACCTTGATTTTAATCCAGGGAGACCCTTATCACACTGCTATGGTTTAATGTTTGTGTTCCCCTCCTCCCTCCAAACTCTTAAGTTCTGAATTGCTAAAGTCTGATACTAGCAGATGGTGCCTTTGGAAGATGCTAAAGTCATGAGGGTGTAAGGATTTAAAGTCATGAATCATAAAGATTAATGCCTTATAAAAGAGGCTGCAAAGAGATCCAAGCCCCATCCACCATGTGAGGATAAAAAAAGAAATCTGTGACCTGGAAGAGGACCTAACCCACCATGCTGGTACCCTGATCTTGGACTTCTAGCCTCCAGAACTATGAGCAATACAGTTCTGCTCTTTATAAGCTGGTCTGTGGTATTTTGTAATAGCAGCACCAATGAACTAAGATAGACTCCCAAACTGCTTTATTCTTAGGATATTAAAAGCATTGTTTCACATCACTAAGTTTGTAGTAATGTTATGGCAACAATAGAAAACTAATACAGGGATGTTTGATATGAATGGCTTAATAGAATTTTCAAAGTATGTCTTGTTATTTCAAATGATTTGTAATTCATAAGCAGATAGAGCCGTAAGAAGAATTAAGCTATAATGATAAAACAACTCTTATGAGGTAATTTAAAACCGTTTTTCACTAATATGATATAATTTTATAACTTTGAGTTCCATTATCCTAGTTATTGCTGAATATGTCTGGTGCTCTTACATTTTCAAAACATTCCCCAAATCTTCCATGTCTTACCTGAGATGTACAAATACCCAAAGGTACAAGTACAATAGTTACTTTCATTTCGCTTTGGGAAAGGGACACTAATACTACCAATTTTACATATCACTAATTTCATGGTAGCTTCTTAGATGCTGCTGAAGAAAAAGCTGACTTTAAAAAAAAATTGCCTAAAGGTTGGTTATAACTAATGTACATAAATACCTGATTATATAAAACTCAAGAATTTGGAGAAAATATAATATAAAATTTAATATAATTTCAATTTTAGTCCCTAGACACTTGGAAGTTTAAAAAATGCTGGCAGGATAAAGCAGAAAATAAATTTTAGTCGTGTGACAAATAAAAATTTGAATATGATTCAATTACCAGATTTCAATGCAGCCAGATTAAAGAGGCACAGCAATTTTCATTCCATTCAAAGGATAATGAAATATCTTAACCATTCTTTGCATCAGGACCCCAATACCCCACTAGCTTTGTGTCTCCACATATTAATTCATGGCTGAGGGCACTTGTCATCTGTGACTGAGGGAAGGGCTGTCATAGTTGTGTCCTGAGGCCTGGTGACTCCTTCCTAGGTTTCTACCAAAAGTGCTGGTCCTACCTGCTCTGAAGCAAACTCAATAGAAATACTGTATCTGTGTTATAATACTTACTCTTTGAACCCAAACGGTGAATTTCCTCCACTAAGAGGTTAACCTCGTGTTCCACATTCATTGCTGCCTGAGGGAGAAAACAAAAAGTCTGTATTATTGCCATTTCTACATTCCATTAAGCACTTCTTGCCAAATCCAAGGGTCCTTTCTTTTATGTAGCAATTGTCAGAATTAATTTACCATGCTCCTCTTCCTAAAATTACTTGTGTGATGTGCATGGCACTAGAGTACTTCCATTTTCCTTCCATCTGCGTAACTTCCCTCTGGGCTGATCCCACTCTTAGTCTACACATTCTATTGGGAAGAATGCAGCCATTTTCCTTGCACCCACTCTTAATTCTAAGTCCATCCTCTTCATGGTGCGGCTGCAGGCCATCAAAAATACAAAGGTGAGTTCATTGGACACAGACAATAGGGTGGTGAAGGCCTGGGCGGGGGAGGTCAATGGGGGAAAAGGAGTATATATGTAATACTTTCGACAATAAAGATTTTAAAAATAATACAAAAGTGAGTGACACAAGGACCTGCCCTCAGGGCAACCAACCCTCCAGAAAGGAAGAACGGCCTGGAATGCATAGCAGTGTGACTGTACTCCTTGACTGATGGGTCCAAGGCATTATGGGAGCACAAAGAAGGAAGCCACAGGCTTCATGGAGGTCACTGGGGAGGTGTAGGCCAGGTAGATAGTTAGGAAAGAGTGTTCAATGCATGGGAAAGAGCATGTACAAAAGCATAGAAGCAAAGGGAAAAAGGCAGGCCCTAAGTTAGGAGCTGGAGATACCAACATAAACGTACACACTGCCTCCCCTCTGGGAGCCTGCAGTCTAGTGGGGAAGGAAGATTGATACAAGGCAATTTTAATAATGTCAGGTCAGTGCAACAATGACTCCTAGGTCACACACAGGGCCATGTCCTTACCTGGACAGTGCACAGTGTACCTGACGACAATAAAGTAGTGGTGAAGACTATTCATCTTCAGATAACGGTCTGAAGCTATTAAACTTATTTTGGCCTACTAGGTCCTCCACAGGCTGGGTTCTGCCCACCATTCCAGCTTCCTCTACTCATTCCACCTGAACTCTAGCTACAGCTACCTGGGGCTTCTTTTTGTCCTTCAAATGTCCCTCAATCTCTCACATCCAACCTTCCCATATACTGTTCCTTCAACCCAGACTATGACTATTCCTCTTTCTTGGGCTAACTCCCACACATTCAGTCCCAGCTTAGATATAACTTCCTCCGAAGCCTTCCATGAAGCCTGCAGTAGGAGAGTTCCCCCATGGAGTGTCCCAAAGCATTGTCCACCCTCATCATTTCATTTGATTGGAATAACGGATTTCTTAGCTTTCACCGCAAGGTAAAGCTCCTCTAGTCAGGGATCTGATTGTAATGCTGTCTGCTGGGTTGTCTGGCACCAAGAGCACAGGTTCAATGAATATTGTTTCTATGGACTGAAATCGCAAAGGCTTGAGAGAGGATGGAACTACAACTATGGGATTGTCACCAGAAAGCTGCTGATTTAAGTGGAGAACAGAGAGGAGCTCTCAGAGGAAGAGCACAGAGACAGAAAAGGGAAAGTAAAGGGGCCTGGCAAACAGCTAGAGTGAGAGGAGAGAAATACCAGCAAGAAGAGGGGAAAGCAGATTGAGGTGGAGGAGAGAGCCCTGACCGAGTTGGGTCAAAGAAGTAAAAGAAGAAGAGTTTCCATAAGAAGGCAGTAATCTACAGTGAAAAGGACAACAGGAGGGTCAGAAAGTATGCATCAATCATCAGTCTGTTTTCCAATCTTAAATTCTCCAAATCAGATAAGAGACTAAAAAGGTGTGGTTGTGTGAATGGTTTACTTTGGGGTGACAATTTGGAAAAAAAAAAAAAAAAACATTATCCAGACAGATTGTAACTAATTCCTGGTAGCTTTTAAAAACAAGAATGACTTCTAGGTTTAGACTATACTGATTGGGACCTCAGATTTTCCATCAGCTAATAATTAAAAGCGCAACTGCCGTCTGCTACATTACATGTAAGAATATTACAATTTAAGAAGCCTGTATTGCAATAAATGCACATAAAACTATAAAAATTATAGGAACTTTGTGTTGGTGAATTTTATCTATAACATTATATACTCAATTCAAGATATAGTTTAAGAGAGCTACTCATAAGCTAAAATACAGCCAAAGGACATCACTGAAAGGCATACCATGAGAATTATGGTAGAAAAAACACATCCCTGTAAATGTCAGCATGGGGGACAGTTGCTGTTTTTACCTACCCAGCACCCATTCCCCATGTTGGCACCATTAGTCTAATTTTTGTTTGGATCAAGTCTTCCTACCTCTAAACTCATGTACCTTGGATAGAGCCTTGCCCTAAACTCCAGTAATGGTTCGGAGCCAGAATAACTGATTGGGGGCATAGGTAAATGATTTCATCCCGAACAATGAGGTACTGTCCCACTGGGTTCTAAGATGTAAGTTTACAGCCCCTGATGTAAACAGCTACCATTGGGAGGAATCTTACAGGAATAAAGCTGGAACAAAGAAAAGTCCAACCACATAACAATGATTGAGCCAATACAGGGCCCTGGACTTTCCAGTCACATAAACCAATCAACTTTCCTGGTTTTGTGTTTTTGAATGAGTTTCTGTCACTTGCATTCTAAAGACTCTTGACCCAAAAAGTTAGCCTGGAGAAGACCTACCACTATTTTTATTTTAATTAAAGCTCCCTTTATGTACCTATGTGAAGAGTTTTATGTTGCTCTATCGGATGAGATGGATAGATGTAATAGAAAGGCAGATTTGGGAGCCATATAAGAAAAATTTCTCTAACAGTCAAAATTGCCTAACAATGAATAAAGGTGACGACACCCTGTTCTCAAAAGCATTAATGCAGAAGTCCTGTGGATCTGTGAGGGTTGTTGAGCAAATTAGCCCACATTGGTTAGAAGGGAGAGTGAAATGCCCAAGCGGATTATGGTCCTAATTCTCAGATTCTATGATTTCCTCCCATTCTGAAAATTTCTCTAACACCATTCTCCACTCCTTCCACCTACTAGCCACACACTTCAGACAAAGCTCTCCTTTGATAATGAGACTCAAAATGGAAATCCCTTTATTATGTATAGTGTGAATACCTGCACCCTGTTAAACAGATGTATGCTCATCCAATTTTAAGAAGGGAAGGCAACCAGCATTTCTTTATAATTAATTACATATGAGGCTCCTTATCTGTTAATTCATGTAATCCTAAGAGCCTTGCTGAGTATTTATTATTTATCCCCATTTTATGAATGATGAAACTGGCTGTTGTCCCTGGGAGTGTGTGTGTGGGGGGGGGGGGGGGAGTGAGGGGACGCTGGCACAATTAAATGCTGTTGCTACCACATCCTCATCCTCTTCCATCTCCCCCTCCTTTTGTTCCTCTTTTTCTTTGCTAGTTATTATGCAAAGTGCAGTAAATGCAATAGAGTTGCATTTGTATGAAATATTACAAAACGAGTATTTACTAAGGGAGAGCAAGAAGGGCTCCCTGCCCAGACCCCCTCCCCCCCCACAAGTAGGAAAATAGCAGGCATAGGAACTATTGCTAGCATACACAGTTTGGCATGATTTATTTATTTTATTATTTAGCGGGGACAATGGGGTAGAAATATCCATTGTTACACAATCCTTGGAAGGCCCATGGCATTTTATCTGGCTTGGGACTGGAGTAAGCAGCAAGATCAAAAACAATGAGAGGCCAGAAGCGGGCAAGTCCAGAGGGAAGAAAGAGCTCCTCAATGGGCCAATAGGAGGGAGAAGGGAGAGAAAAGGAGGAGGGGAGGGGGGGTGGGGGCGAGTGATTAAGGCAAGGCGGTGGCAGATGCTGGGCGGCCCTCTAATTGTGACTGAATGTAATTGGGCAGCATGCGTGGGAATCACAAAGAAAGCGGAATGTCAGAGGATTCAGCATATGATAAAATGCTCTATCATTAATACACATCTATGTAGGGACCCTTTATAAATCTTTTTTTTTTTAAGTTTGGAGGCAACACATGGACATTTTTTAATGTTGGAGGACTGCAGCCTCCTGGGAATCAGGAGCCAACTCCATGTGCTAGGGCGGACCACTTTTCCAGCCTTCCCAGACAATCGCAGACTAGCAGCTGGTGCGGGTCAGAGGGTGGCTGGGTTCCTTCCCGCCTGCTCCCGGGCGCGCACACTCCTTATTTGGTCATCTCGGCTGCAAGTTTGGGGGCTGGCCCCGAAGGTGTCCCCAGCCCCTGTCCCCAGAGGCCATCACACGCTCACCACCGCACTGGTTCAGAGCTGGGGAACGCGGGATCTGACCCCCTGCTCCGGGCCAGCACCGCGGGCTCGGGGGCGGCCTCCCCGGGAAGGGCCGCGTCCCGGAAGCCTTTGTCTCCGCGCTCCCGGAGCCCCGAGCGCCCCAGCGCGCCCACGACCGCGCGCCCAGACCCGGCAAGGAAAACGGACCTGCTCCGCTCCACAAACCCCTAGTGTCCCGCACTACCCCCACCCCACGTACAAGCAGGAGAGCACAGAGCCGCACCACCGCCCGCTCGCAGAACCCGCTGCCAGGAGGCCATCAAATTGCTCCTGGGCGTCTCGCCCCGCACCCCCTCCCTCCCGCTCCCTGCTCTGCAGATCGGGCGCCCGACACGCCGCACCGCAGCCGGGCTCCCCGTGCGCCCCCGGCCGGCTGAGCACCTCGGAGCCGAAGGCGGAAGTCTGCGGAGAGGTGGGGGCGTGGGGCGCGTCCATCCCGCCCCCAGCTCCAACTCAGCCCAATTCCAGGAGTAACATCCACGCGCCTCAGCCGCCCCCGGGTCCTGGCTCTCCACCCGCAGCCCACGATTCCCCCGCTGCTGGGCCTCCGCCGGATGCCCGGTCCGCCCCGGATACCTGGCCACCTCTCCCCAGGGGACTCGCTCACCTCTCCGCCTCCCTGGCTGGTCCGTAGAAAACCCGGTGCAGTCCGCGGGGGCGGGTTGTCGGATTAACCGCTCGGAGGAGGAAGAGGCTGAGGTAGGAAGTGATGAGGCACCGAGAAGGGCCTGTGTGCGGGGAGGGGAGGAGGAAGAGGAGGGAAGGGGGTGGTAAGAGTTTCTGCGCTCAGGAAGTGGGCCGCCCACACTCCCAGGGACAAGCCTATGAGGAAGAAACTCGGGGAGTGGAGACGCCCGATAAGGGGACAGAGTCCAGGCAAGTGGGAAAGGAACCCAGACCTCCACCTTTTCGATTGCCGCCACCTTTCCTTCGCGCTACCTGGAGACAGTAGTCCCCAGCCCCCTGCATCTGACGCCTGATCTCCTGCCAAGGTCCGGCTTCTAGCAGAAGAAATAAAGCGCCCCAACGTGCCGAATGCTGAGGTCTCCCAGGAGAAACGGGACTTTGGTTCTCCCGGCCAGGAGCAGGGGTCTCCAGAAATCAGCAGGACAGCAGAATGGTGTGATGTGCAAACAAAACTCATCTTGAAAACCAATTTGTTCTGCAAAGAAATTTTACATGGATTCTGGGTCGATAGATGTGTCTTCCCTTCTTCATTCATTACTTCCTACATTTAACTGCTTAATGCAACCCACTTATTCATACATTTCAGTCACTGTTGTTTTCGTGTGTGTGTGTGTGTGTGTGTGTGTGTGTGTGTGTGTGATGCTTGCTGGAGTCCCTTTGGAAAGGAAACCGAGGCTCTGCTGAGGTGACCCAAACCATTCCTAGGGCAGAGGTTGCACAAACAACCACCCAGAAAGCACCCCCTTCTCCAAGGAGTGATCACGTGGCCCAAGAACACAGTCCGTAAACTGGCCCTCATCTTCGGAGGTCAACTGGAACAAACAGTTCTCCCGAATAGTGACTCCGGTAATTCTGTAAGCCATTCAGATTCTCCCTTTGAAATTGAAAGGGGAGAATACTGACAGTGAGCCATCTGATAGGAAGGCTGGAGCTGAAAGAGGGCTTGAGACAGGGGGAGTGAAAATGGGCCTCCAGAAAGCAAAATATTTGAGTGAGCAGAAACCTGAGGATGAAGTAGGGGCAGGTGGGGCGGGAGTGGTAGACACGGACTCTAAGAGAAGCTGAGACCCAGTGATGGAATAAGATCAACAAATACCTGCTCCCCAGGGACCTATGAGTATCCAGTCCCTGGAGGGTCACTGGATCCATCCACTTCCCAAACTGTGTTCTACCGACCCCTTCACAGTGAACACCTATCCGCCTGGGCTGACTCTGAATGAACCTCTGTTCCCTAGGGCCAAAAGATTCCTCTTCAGCCTAGGTCTGATGCGTCTAGGTTTCTCATGTCACATGACGCTTAAGGTGACTCCAGGATCCTTTGAGGCCTATTTTTTTCTCACTAAAAGAAATCTGAGAAGTTATACTTTATATCTTTAAAAATCTACATAATACAAAATTGATAATTTTTTTAAAAGATTGTATTTAGCAATTCTCCAAGCAGGACCTGGCTATTTTGGCCAATGTCCATGATCACAATTCTTCATTCATCCAATGAAATGAATAATTAATCTGTAGTGTGACACTTCTGTTATGACTAAGTAATTAGTGTTTCACAGTATTCTGCCAGCAAGCCAAAAAAAATAAATAGATTACCTAAACAAGTAGAAGTCTCTGTTAATATAGAACTGGATTCACTCTTTAAAAATACTTTGTTTATACCTATGCTACACTAAACATAACATAAACTTCATGTTAATCTATAAGGAATTACAATTCAGGAAAGTTGTTTTTTATAAAAGAAATTTTATAGATTTTGCCAATTAATATTTTCATACCTAATTCCTACTTTCAGTTTCCATGCATATGTTTGCCATCTTTTCTCAATATTTTAGGAATATTTTCACCAGATAGCTAAACAATGTGGAATTTTAATCTAAAAAGCAAAGAAATAAAGTTTATCCAACAGTTGAGAAGTATTCATTAACTATCAAGCATGTGCTAGTCCTAGAGGATACAAAGTAGCTTACAGCGTGATCTTTGTCAAAAAGAACTTTTGGTAATCCTAATCCTAATATATAATAAGCCAGGGTCCGTCACAACCTTAAGGACCAAATGGACAACCGAACACCAGGTTAGGGTTCTGGTCAGCACGGCGGGAATCAGTCTGGGTCCTGGGCGCCCACGGCGCGGCGGCGAGAGAGAGCTGTGGGAACAGAGCCATGCTGCCATCAGACTGGCCTCTTGGTCCCTTCCCCCGGCCTGCAGGCTCCGGGGAACCAGAGCCATGCTGCGATGGGACTGGACCCTACCCGAGAGGTCCCGGATTGTGAGAGCATGCAGGCTGGGCTGAGAGACCCCCTCGAGTGCATGAATTTTCATGTACCGGGCCTCTAGTGTACATATAAAATATTAAAACAATCTTTACCCATTTATTTAATTGCATAGTATAGACAATAATTGTCCAATAGAAATATAATTGTGATCCACATCTGTAAAATGTTCTGGTAGCCACATTAAAAAAAACACACATGTGAAATTGATTTAATATATTCGTTTTAATCCAGTATATCCAAAATACTATGATTACAACCTGTAATGGCTATTTAAAAATTATTACTGACACATTATACATTCTTACTTTTATACTAAGCCATCAAAATCTATTGTGTTTTATACTTACATTTCAGGAATTAGTGGTGAAGTGTGCACAATCTTGTAATACTCTAAAAGACACTGAATTATACACTTAAAATGATGAGGTTTATGGTATATGAATTACATGTCAATTTACATGTTATGAATAATAAACAATGAAAATGTTATAGGCAATTAGACAGACATGAGCAGAGCAAGGACAATGAGCCAGGTACAGAAACTCACCAGGGAAAAAAGCTCCAGATTCCTAGCAAGAGGAAAAACAAGAACTCTCCAGCCCCCAGGGTAACCTTTCCTCCCCTAGCATACTGCTGGTCATGTGGTTTAGAACCCCCTGACCTTTTCCTCCCTAAAGATAACATCTAGGCCTCGGTTGTATTTTAGCTCCAGGCCCAGAAAAGTGACAAAACCAGACAAGTGAGGGGCTGCCTCAGGACCAGCTGCATTGACTCACCCCTGTTCTGGTGCTGACCAATCAGTGGAGACCGAAACCCTGAAAGAGCACACGGGAAAGCTGATGAATATTCTATTGAGACCCTCCCCTGAGACCCTTAAGATGTTCCACCTGCAGGAGAGATAAATAAGCTCAGGATGGAGGACTCAGTTCGTGCTCTTCCCCAGGGGAGCACCCTAGAGCCTCTCCCTTTCCTCTTCTTCCCTCTAAGGGACCTGAGGAGACTTGCAACTAGGGGAACAGTGGGCAGCAGCAACTCGTCCTGGGCTCACCCCCTGAACCTGTCTCCAAGGCCCCCTTTTCTCTGACTCTCAGTGAGCCACAGCAGCCCAGCCTAGGCTCTCCTGTTACTTTTCCCATGCCCTTCCTTGTTTCACTGTCCTAAGTATATTTTTGCTATGTCCAATAAATTCTTACTTAGTTTGCTACACTTTGTCTCTTGATTGAAATCTTTCAAGAAGACAAGAACTGAGGTCTTGTCATCTCACTGGTAACAAAAAGTTAAGACTAATAGACAATTAACAATTAAGAACCAAACCAGAGAACAAATAAAAATGCTATGGCTGAAAAACAAACGAACAAAAACTGTTGAACAAAAGGATTAATCTGACTACCTTAGGAAGGTGCTCTATTTGCTGTATCCCCCCACTGCTCCCTCCTTCTTTTCTTCGTTCCTTCAACATATATTTATTGCAAACCATTATGAGCCAAGCCTGTGTGTCTCTTAGAGAGTGGTCAAAGAGAAAAACTTTCCCATGTGAAAGAGAAATTTTCTTTCTCACCTGAAGAATGGGACTTTTCTAAGCTGGCTTATTAGATGATATATATCCTATCTAATAATAGACAAACATGGTAATTAACCGTACCTCTGACAAGCTTCCCATTGGCTAATCAGGGCGATATGCAAATTAACTGCCAACCAAGATGGCGGCTGGCAGCCAGGCAGCTGAAGCAAACAGGAGGCTTGCTTGCTCCAGTGATGGAGGAAGCCAAGGTTCCCCGCCTGCCGCTGCCAGGCTCTGAGCTGCACTCTAAGAAACAATGTTGCAATTATAGAAGCTAAACAAACCCCAGAAACCTGCTTTCAGCCAGCCGGGCCTCAGAGCTGGAGCTGCAACAGTGTTTCAATTATAGAAGCCAAACAAACCCAGATACCTGCTTTCAGCAGCTGAGGTCTCAGAGCTGGAGCCGATTCTCAGAGCTAAAGCCGGCTCTCAGTTCCAGTGACAACCATAGAAGGTAAATAAATCCCAGAATAAAAAGAAAAAAAGAAAAAAAGGAGAGGTTGGGAGCTTCAGTCACCCGCCAGCCTGAAAACAGCCCTCAGCCTCTCACCCAGACTGGCCAGGCACCCCAGTGGGGACCCCCACCCTGAAGGGGGTGTGACCAGCTGCAAACAGCCATCATCCCCGCATCCAGGCTGGCCAGGCACCCAAGCGGGATGCCCACCCTGATCCGGGACACCCTTCAGGGCAAACCAGCTGGCCCCCACCCGTGCACCAGGCCTCTATCCTATATAGTAAAAGGGTAATATGCAAACTGACCCTAACAGCAGAAGGACTGGGAATGACTGGTCACTATGACACACACTGACCACCAGGGGGCAGACGCTCAATGCAGGAGCTGCCCTCTGGTGGTCAGGGTGCTCTCACATGGGAGGAGCTCTGCTCAGCCACAAGCCAGGCTGATGGCTGCCAGTACAGCGGTGGTGGTGGGAGCCTCTCCTGCCTCCTCAGTAGCGCTAAGGATGTCCGACTACAGTTCAGGCCTGCTCCCCACTGGCAAGTGGACATCCCCCGAGGGCTCCCGGGCTGCCAGAGGGATGTCTGATTGCCATCTTAGGCCAAATCCCCCGGGGAGCAGGCCTAAGCCAGCAGGTGGTCATCCCCTGAGGGGTCCCAGACTGTGAGAGGGCACAGGCCGGGCTGAGGGACCCCCTCCCCACCGAGTGCACAAATTTTTGTGCACCGGGCCTCTAGTAATTTTATAAACACCATTATTTCTAG